CTCTATCCAAAGTTCTTCAGGCACTCTGTCCACCAAATCAAGTTCCTTAAATCTGTTCTTTACTTCCACTATGTATTCATAAGGGATTTGGTTTAGATTATACCTGACTAGACCAGTGGTTTTTCCTACTCTCTTCAGTTTAAGCTTGAATTTTGCTATGAGAAGCTGATGATCAGAGCCACAGTCAGCTCCAGGTCTTGTTTTTGCTGACTGTATAGAGCTTCTCCATCTTTGGCATCAGAGAATATAATCAATCTGATTTCGATATTGCCCATCTGGTGATTTCCATGTATAGAGTCGCCTCTTGTGTTGTTGGAAAACAGTGTTTGTGATGACCAGCTTGTTCTCTTGATAAAACTCTATTAGCCTTTGTGCCAGCACTACAATGCTCTCTAACTGCTAATTCGGAAATGCACGGTGAAAGGGGTCTCTGGAGTCTCTCAAGTTGGCTGCTGATTTATTTCTCCTCCTCTCTCACTTTGCATGGGGTTGTCTACACATCCGTTTTGGAGTGGGCTGGAGTGGACTAAACAGGGTTGCTAGGTTATAGCATTCAGTGCAGTCTTTGCATCCAAGTGGCATATGAACCTGAAGCAACAGGGGGGGGGGGACTTTTTTGCTTTTCTCTCCAAAGAGCCACTCAAGAAAATCAGACACAAATCCTTCTTCTCTGTCTTCTACTTCATCTTTTTCTATTCCCCTTGTTCCTTTTAAAAAGCTAAGCTAAGCCACATAGAGGGACAGACAGACACACAAGGGGTGCACACATGTGCACAGGAAGGTTCAGCTTTCAGAATGTAGCCTCATCATGCTACCTTTGAAAATCCCACTCCTCTGATCCACTTGCCCTCTTTAAAAAGCCAAGCCAAGCCCCCCACCATTAGACAAGGGGATTCGGCTTTCCAAAGGAGAGTTCCCTGCATTGCCTTTGGAAATTTAAAAACTTCTGTAGACCTGAGAAAGTGTTTAATTTGCCTGTATCATGAAGCAGCTCTTATTAAGCCACTTCACAGTCTTAGCAAATTGAAAGAAGGCTTCCTTTAGTCCATTCCCAGCAATCACGAGACAAAACAGAACAGAACGATCCTGCTCACAACAACAAAGTAGAAGCCCCTTGACAGAGGTGCCAGAGAGGTGTGGGCAGAACCATTCTGGGGACAGGCACTTCAGCAAATACATTGTATGATGACTATGTTTAAGAGGGCACCAGGCTGTCCCTTGAATGGTCCAAACAGTGGGCTAAATGTCCATCTAACGGCACTGGCTTTGGCTCTAAGGCAAAACATGCAACTCTCTTGCCAGTATGGCCTCATTGTGTGTGGCTGCCTGGACAGCTCTGCACTCATTGTCCTGCTCCCCCATTTGTGCTTTCAGTGTGTGCCTGTGGAAAAAGCAGAGCTGAATAGATTCTCCTCCTCAAACTCATGCATAGCCAGGAGAAAACTTGCATGCATGTGTATCTGTTTTCCAGAGATGCAAAAGAAAATAGGGGGGTGGGGGTGGCAGGGAAAGTGGAGATTGGTGGGAGTAAAATTTGAATGGGGAAATGACAAGATACACCAATAAGAATAATGCAGAGAATGAAAGAAGAAAAGAAGAAGTGGCATTTCTGGAAGAGCCCTACATATGCACCATATAGTCTATACTACTTCAGCTACCATTTTATAAAGGAAACATTTGAGCATCACAAGGAAATCTGCGTTCATGATCTACTATGTTTTAAATGCAGCCATGTTAAGTTTTACTAGAAACTGCTGAACAAACTGATTCCTCACATCTCTCCCGCATCCTCCTGGCTGGGTCAAACTGAGCCAATTCTTTCTCAACATAGTATAGCACCTTCATAGAATCTCTGTCTTTGTCAGTCTGGATCCGGTAACCCTTGCGCACTGTTGAGAAAAGAAGCGAATAGTTAGCTTATTACTTTTTCCAAGAAATAAGATTTCAAATATCACATCTGGATGTCCCCACAATTTGCTTTATTATTTGTCTCGGAAACATCAGTACACATAGAAATGCACTGTATCCTTCAAGCAAGGATATGCGGCTTGCTCCTGACAGCTGCATCTTTTGTGTACTGACTTAATAGTATAGGAGACATCCCCTCCCCTGAAAAGATATTCTATAGGATTTGATTCAGACAAAATTAGACTGTAGATTTCTGTGTTTGAGTTAACACTTTATTTTCCTCATACACTGAAATAAATGGGACCTTTCAAAAATGAAAGGCACACGAAGCTTAAATAAAGGTGAGTATCAGTATCCCACATTATGTTTAAAAAACTAGCCAATTTCACTACTTTTAAATTTTGCTGTTTGTTTTCCTGTTTCAAAAAAAGTTTCATTTGTTTCATTTTGTTTGAGCTGCAGGAATGTATTAGAAAAATAGTTCTTTACACAATTTTGTAGAAATGCAAACATTAGTATCAGAAGATTATGTCTGTAGTTTATGTGATCTCAAGTCCACTAAAAATGGCACTAAAATGACACTGACATCCACAGGATCTGTTCCTAAGTACACGTATTTTGCTAAAACAAGAATGGCAGCTTGCTCAAGTTGTTGAAATGGTATTTGATCACAAGGGAGAAACAAACCCACGCTAATTTCATTCTTAGGATTGTATGGAATGAAAGTCCACACTGACAATTTGACTCTTGTCATCTAAAGTTCAGGCACAGGATATAGCTTGCATAAAGTGCCGTGGGGCTGGTAAGAATATGGAGCCCTGATGGAGGACATTCAAACCTCTCCAAAGACTACACATAAATACGTGCAAGACATAGTTATAGGCAGAGTATAATTTCCATGCATCTGGCATCAACCATCAGTTGTTGGAAGAATGCAAAAAGGTTTCACATGCTGTGCTGATGCTCCACATGTATATGCCAAGCATTTGTTTTAAAATATTAGATCCCTTATAAAATTGTAGTAAACATTTAGTTCCCAATGAAAAGATCTAACAATAAGCTAATGCAGGCATGTGCATGACAGATGTGGTTAATCTGTCACAACTAGAGATGGGGGTATTCGTATACAAATATGAATACCCCCGCACAGGTGAAGATAACGAGGGTTCGGCCCCATGGTGCCGGAAGGTCTACTCACCAATCCGCTGCTGCCACAAGCTCTGCACTCCCATCCTATCTCTCTGGAGCTCGCAATCAGCTAGTCAAATCTGACTGGAGGTGAGACAACAAGGCTCTCTGTCAGGTTGAAGAGTGGCCCACCAATCGCAAACTCCAGAGCGACAGGACGGGAGCAGCAGCGGATCAGTGAGTGGACCGTCCGGCACCATGGGGCGAACCCTTGTTATCTCCACCTTTGCGGGGGTATTCATATTTGTATACGAATATCCCCATCTCTAGTCACAAACCAGATGTTGTTGAACTAAAGCTTCTATCAGGTTAAATGAGACTAATAGGAACTGAAGTCCAACAGCACCTGGAAAGCCAAAAGGGCTCCATCTGCTTTAGATTCTTGGTATACAAGAGAAACAGGCAACATGTCACCTCCAAATGACTAAGCCCTAAAATATATATAGTGGTGCCTCGCTAGACAATTGCCTTGTGGGACGAAAAATCCCAAGACAATTGGTTTTTGCAATCACTATGGTGCCTTGCAAGACTTTTTTTCTATGACCGTGCTTTGCAAGATTTTTTTTTAGACTGATGCTTCGTAAGATGTTTTTTTTAGACCGATGCTTCACAAGCCTTTTTTTTAAAGACCGATGCATAGGGAACCTCGCAAAATGATTTTTTCACAAGACAACAATTTTCGCAGAACGAATTAAAATAGTCTTGTGAGGCACCACTATTCCTCCCAAATCCAGCCAAGCACAATTACTTGAATTAATTCCAAATGAAATCAGTGTTGCTTGCTTGTGGGTAAATATATTTAAGATCAGGCTGCAAAAGATAAAATTGCACAAAATGATAACTTGTGCTGAATTGTAGTTGATGTAGCAGCAAATATTTCTAAGTTATATTTCATTCCTTTTCTGTTTCTCTCATGTTCCTCATTTCCAGGATATTGTTGTTCTGACGAGATACTGTATATATTTTACAGTACACTCTTATGTTCATTTACTCAGAAGTATTTGAAAGTGCTTACTCTGTAAATACAACATGTGTGCAGCCTTAAAGAAAAAATAAGCAGTATACAATGATTAGCAAAGTTATGTGACTAATTCTGCCTTCTTTGTCCATAAGGTTTTCTACATAAATTTTGTGAAGCAATGTAAGGATATAACAAATACCAGGGATGTTGGCAAGTTTTTGGTACCAAGACTCAAGTCAAGTCCCAAGTCTGAGTTTCACTTCCCTATGAAAAACAAGCTTTTTCCCAGAAAAAAAGAGAGAGGGGTGTGTGGATGTCTGAGGCTGGTGAACCATCCATTTTTGTTTCCCATTGGCCTTCCCCCGAAAACTAAAAAAAGTTTTTAAATTAGTAAAGAAAATCTTGCTTCACTTATCTTTTAAACAGGTCCAGAATCCTCTTGTTTAACAGGTTGCAGACAGAAGGAAATTCCCCCTGCATTGTGTGTGTGAGTGAGACAGAAAGAAAGAGACTGAGGAAGGGATGCAGGCAAGCTGCTCTTAGCTGTTCTGTGGTTTGAGAGTGTGAGTGTTGCTAAGTTGTGTCTCCAAGTTGTTGCATCATTTTGCAGACAGAGAGAGAGAGAGAGTATGTGTATCTTGCAGGAGTACAGCTCAAGAGGAAAAGAAGTCACCCACATGTGTGCACACACACACACATTCTGCAAAATGATGCAAAAAGTTGCAGACATAGCAAGAGATTATTAGCAGCTCTGCCCACCCAGTCCTGGAAATCCAGCCTCTCTCTCACTGTCACATACACACAATGGAGCCTGGGCAAAGTGAAAGGGAGTCATGTGCGAACCAGAAGCAGCTTCTGCACGGCAATTTCTCTCTGCAGGGTTCCAGCTGCAAAACGGAACAATTTAAAAGATATGTGAAGCAAGATTGTTTTAAAAAAATAATAAAACAATAGGAACTCACTCAGAAAAAAAGTTGTGAGTTGAGTCCAAGTCATTTTTAAAACCCATGAGTCAAGTCCAAGCTGAGTCACTGGTGTGACTTAATTGCAACTCAACAGTGACTCACCCGACTTAAGTCTCCATCCCTGACAAATATTCATAATTTTTCTCCTTCTCAATAAAAAGGGTATCTTGACACATTGAGACATCCTATTAAAAACTGTCAAGCACTGCAAGATTTTTTTGTTCTTGCACAACAAGGAAAAGACAAAGGCTTTTGTTGTTGAACAACAACTTTTGCAGAAAGCCTCTGTATTACATATTTAAAAACGTACATTATGCACAAAAATACAAGGGTTTTTTTTGTACAAGATACAATTTTTCAATGCAAAATACAACCTTTGTGCACAAAAATATTTTTTAATGTCCAAGGGTATTAAAAGTGAATGCAATATTGTAATCCAGCCTGGTAGGGACAAATGTCAGTAAATTTTTTGTTCTCACCTCTGAAAAATAAGTGAAAATTTAGTGCTTATAGCAGTCTTTAAAAGCAAGCCCAATGCAAAAAGATGTGAAGTGACATATTTTTATAGAATCAATGTCAGTATGAAATGAGGCTCTAAGAACTACACTGTATGTTCTATATAGCAATTCCTGTGCGCTGACATTTAAAACCACACACACACACAATCATACACAAGAATCACCCTGTAGTCTAATTATGTTTTTTTTTTTCAATTAGATATAATTCTGCTTTAGGCTACCCACTGATTTCTCACTCCTAAATTATCTAATCTAAGTGCTTTGACAGTTCTCATTAGTTCATTTATTCATATTTTCTGAGAAGAACAACAGAAATGCACTGATTATTGAAGCCTAACTTTTCTGCAAAACCCTGAAAAGGTCACTACACTAGCACAAGGGTTCAAAAATATTATTGCCAGTGCATGGTCATTAATTACTTTTTCAGCAATATCATCTCAGTACTAAGCCATGGGAAAAGTCAAACTTGTGCCTATTACTGAGAGATTTCTTCTTCAGAAATGCCATCTGGAATTTTAACATCCCATTGTACAAGCATTTGATCCTAAAGCACTCAGCAGTTAACACTGGCAAAGTCTTCCAAGTTTTCTGTTAACAATGGGCAAAATGGTATGAAGCCTGATCCTAAACATGTCTACTTGAAAGTAAGGCCTATGGAGTCCAACAGGATTTACCTCTAAACAATATGCATATAACATCCAGCCTTAAGCCTTGAAGGCACAAGGTTTAGCTTTCTTAATCCACAGATAGTGCTCAATGAAAGCTCAGGAAGCTTAATCTAGCTTGTACTGGAAGAATACAGACATTTGCGTAGGTGTGCCGCCACCTCATTGAGCGCTGAACCAGTTTTAAAAAGGCACATTTCTTTTCTAAAATGGACTCAGTTGAAACCATTGTACGTGGAGACAAGTCACTGTCTGGCTTTTACTTTATATGAGTTGCAAATTCACAAACCTCATATAAGAGAAAATGCAAAACAATTGCAAAACATAAAATAAAAAATAAAGGACTATACAAATGTAAGAGAAAGCAAACTCAGGAAAAATACGGAAAACCAACAATTCCCACACATTTTGAAAGCCCCCATGAGTACCAATTAACAGCTTCAATATCCCAGTAGTCTATTCCCAAATGATGCACAAGGTATGAATCAAAGGGTCTAAAAATATCGCAGAGCAGTTTTTGTGATCTCTCTCTCTCTCTCTCTCTCTCTCTCCATGACTTCCCTAATCACAAAAAATTGCTCCAATCATTTCTGGTTGATGTGTTATATATTATTCACATGAGCTGGGAAGTGGAGTAGAAAATGTGTTCATCTACAATATGTATATCACCAAACTCAAAACAGAAGACCATTCAGTTGTTAAATATGCATATTAACCATAACAAAACGCCACAAGGTCATTATTGGCATGACACCCATTCCTGTGCCAGGAAAAAAAACACACACGTGGTGACCAGGGATTAGTATGGTAGGTCTATACAGCTACAGTCCTATGGATGGGAGAGTAGCACAAAATCAAACCCTTCAACCTCTTGTTTAGAGTGTAGCATGAAAATAGGCTTTCATCCCATTCCAATGATTCTTCAAAAGGGAAAAAAGCAGCACAGCTGATTTCTCAACCTAAACTTGTGGGTATGATGATAGCTATGGATGCCATCCTACATTCTCTGGACAATTTTGTAATACACAGAACAACTGCTTATAGTAAATATTTAAAGAAGGATCAACTCTAAAAACAAGTACAGAAGCTTGCCTCTTCATTTTTTGGAACAGGTACCCTTCCTAATCTTGCAATGTGAATACACATAATCATATGTGAATACAGATCTACTTCCACTGAGAGATCTCCAGATGTTCTGGCAAGCAGACAGGCAAGATGCAGAAAGTTTCCAGATTACCACTTTGTCCTCCTGGATTGGATTCACTTGGTGCCAAAGGTGGAAGATGTGACTTTTCCATTAGGACCGCATGAGATGGGACTCCACCCACAGTGGGAATATAGTAAGGTCCAGGGATTGAGGTGACTGCTGGAGGATAGCCAGCCTTTGCAGCCTTCCCTGCTTCATACACTGGGAAAAAAGAATAACTATTAGACAGAGCTCTACAATTATCAAGTTGTAGCTTTCTAGCACCCTTTAAGATAGCGGGTGATTAACAAATTTAATGTGAATTATTTGTCTACCTTGATCTTTTAATTTGCATGACACTTAATTTGTTTGAATCTAGGAGAGGTCAGCACTGCCTTCGTTTTGGGCAGCTATCTTGTTTTATAAACAGATATGAATTTTGCAGTTCACTGGTAAAATTAAGTTGGGATCATAATAAGTCTTTAAAGCAGCTTTATTTGAATAAAACACCTAGAGGATTAATTTAATTTTTTTTAAAGAAGGCAGTAATTAAGACACAAACCACTAAATATTCAAAACCAGAGCCTAAATGGAATTTCAGGGGAATTGCCCAGCAACCTAATTAACAAAAACACTAATCATGTAAATATACTGTACTCTGTTTACCTTGTCATTTAAGCATCACTTTTAACAATGTTGGCAACCCCTAGTTGTAATAGCCCTGGAACTAGCTGGCTTGAGTCAGAATAGGATTTTGCGATTCACAACAATAGAAGACACACATTTGTGCTGACCATTTGTATGACTGATCTTTCCATAATCAAGCCACACTGATAGGACGAAATCTTCTGTAGATGTAAATTATTGTGGATTTAAATATACTTCTAGGTCCCCATTTCATCCACATTGCTACTGTCATTCTCACCCCATTAAACTGGTGGATTTGTCTTTGTGTATGTACTGAATTATAGCAGATACATGTATCTTATGTTATTAATTGAACCAGTCCACAAACATTAGAGAAAACATTTACCAACAATTACGCAGTTACTAATTAAAGGACCCTTTAAAAAATGAACAGTAAAAACTGCTTAGCACCCAGTGGCAGCTTTGCACAAATGGGAAACACTTCTATTAATACAAACTGGGACACCCAATTTTTGCTAATCCCCTGGCAGACTCCAAATATCTGTGGCAATTTACATACTTTCCTAGCCAATTCACATACTTTTCCCTACCCTCTGGAGCAGCTTTTTAGAAGGTGCACAGGAGCAGTTAACGGAGGTATTAATAAACTTGTTTGTTTGTTCAGTCGTTTAGATGGGAACAAAAACTAAATGTACCTTTCTCTCTCTCTCAAGAGGCCAGCAGTAAGAAATACTGAAAAAAAAACTCCTCTAATGCCTATTCTACAGGTACATAAGGATAAAGATGGTCCAAATGCATTCAAAACCTACTAATTGTCATGAGCAAAGCTAAAATATTGGGGGCAGTATTTTGCAGTCTCCCATTGATGATGACAGCTATGTGAAACCTAGGCCTAAGGCAAAACAGTAGACCTATTCAGGCATCACACATCTGAGTTTGTCAACATTCTAAGAGGTGAACTCTAGCCCACCCCACCCCACCCAACCCCATCATTATCTTCTTTCCCTGAAATTAACACCACATCTGAAAGAGCTCCTGCTTATATGTAAGCTCTACTAATAAGCAGAAAAACTGCTTTACTTGCAAGTAGGAGCCCAGAGTTGTTGTTTTTTTCATATGTAGAGCATTCATGTGAGCAGCAACTTTTCCTCTTCAGACTCATCGCTGATCATGGAGGGATATTATGGCGGATAATATGGAATTAAACCCTCCCCTCATGTATACTGATGAACCCATATGCTACAATGCCTGAACAGGCTTCATGTGTATTCAGCTTCATGTCTCCTAAGGCCTGGTGTTTACAGACAACAGTATTTCACCACGGCTGAGTGAAACTGTCAGGTGTATGGAGACCAAGAAAGAGAACTGTTGCTTTTATTACGTAATAGCATTACAGTAAGAGGAGGACAGTTGGCAAAACTGAAAGACTGTTTGATAAACTGATAGACATTGTAACAGTCACTCACATGCCCGTGGGCAGCAGCAGGTATCTGGACAGCAAGGGCACCGGATATAACAGCAGCAGCTATGAGGACAGCACTGGCACCAGCAAATCCCAACAAGGAGAAAGAAGAGGAAAGCCCCCAGGATCACCAAACCCACAAACACCCATTCTGCAAACAAAGACACGTGTCAAATGTTAGTGAACCAGTTAAGAAAGTTTAATATAGTAAGTGTAAATCAATTAAATGTGAATAAATGTGTATATTATAAATACCTCAACCTGGATATGTTTGAGGAGAACTGAAATACTGTATGTGAAATTATTATTGTAGTTGTTGAAAAAAACACTATTAATAATGGGAAGGAAAGGCCACCATCTATATTTTCGTTTATTATAGCAGCCCATCGAGAAACAAAATACGCAACAATAATAAGCGTTATCTGCCCTACTCACAACCATTCCATATAATGCGGAACTTCACCCCTAGACTTGTTAAGTACAAGAGATATAACATTTTTAATAGGCAGCATGGGAAAACAGTGGTCTAATAAGTGTGGAGAATGAAATCACAATGGCATATGATGGTATCTAGGAGGAAATCAATGAGTCAAAATTTCCCTTTTCCACCAGCATCTTCATACTTGGAGCTAGATATAAAAAACTGGTAAACAATTATTAAACTAAGGGGTTAATGTAGAGGCAAACATTTGGAACTAAATCCAATGTCAGTGAATCCCAGTGAGCCATTGGGATTTTCATAAGTGTTGACTTGGTTACTCCAACACTTCTAAATGGCTTCTAAATACCTAAGCAGTGCCTGCTCCCATACCTCCCTATCAGGCAGCAGTCAAATGACGTAAGGTTGGTTGGAAAGGCAACCTTTTCCATGATGGCACTCCTTTGTGGATGCCCTCTCTTAGAAGCTCGCTAGGTGCTTCCATTTTTGTCTTTTCAGCAATGCATTACCAGAGCTTTAACTGTATTATCTGATACAATATAGGCTTTTTATTGTTAAATACAGTCTGACTTGGGGAAACCAGACGAGATATTTATGGTTTTACAAATGCTGCCCTCCCCACATGAGTTTCCATGACTGAGCAGGGATCTGAACCTAGGTCTCCATTTTTGTCTTTTCAGCAATGCATAAGGACATTTGTTTTTCTTGCATTTACATCTTAGCACTCATCTTCTCTGTGCATTGTTTTATATGCAGTCATAGTTTTACTACAAATTAAAAAAATATGTATCTTTTATTAATAGTTCTTTTAAAAAATAAACATCTAAGACTGTGGAACACTGGATTCAGTACACACTGCAATCTGTTATCAAAGAGCAAACATTTATAACTTTTTAGAACAATACCAATATACAACTTGTTCTAAATGAAAATCACATTTCAGAAGCATCCTTGTCCTTTAGAACAATGTGCATATTTCCTGCATGCCTTATTTTAACATGAAAACAGAGAGAACTGATTTCAGTTGCCATGACATTATATGGAGGAGCTGTTTGTGATCCACACATGTCTAGCCTTGGTTTAGTGATGGAGTTATGTGCTAAGGATTGTGTGCATAATTAGAGTGGACTCCTGAACTCCTTTGTCTAGAAAAGGGGTCCCTAAACTATGGCCACATCCAGCCCATGGATGCAGGGAGGAGGTGGGCAGTGGTGCGGGCATCTGTGTGGGCGCCAGGAGCAGGAAGGCAGGCTTTTGTGCATGCATGCATGCAGGGGATGGAGGAGGGCGTGCGTATGTGTGTGCATGCGTGGGCATGCCTGTGGGTGGGTGTGCAGTCGGTCAGGAGTGCAGGTGGGCAGACTGCACATGCACACATTTCTTTGGCCCTCAAAAATATCACAAATATATTATGTCGCCTTCTGTGTAAAAAGTTTGGAGAACCCTGTTCTAGAACAACAGGTTTGGGCTGTGTCCAGGTTAGCCTTCAACCAACTTAGATTGATCATGCTCCTACCTTGATGAGGAATCACTGACAGCTTTGAGGCTGTCCGAAAGACGGCAGCAAATGCAGAATGAGGCAGCCAGACTGGTGTTGAGTGTAAACAAGTTTGATTACATCTCACCAGTTCTGGTTTGCCTGCATTGGCTTTCTGCTGTTTTCCAGGCCAAGTTCTAGCTTACAAAGCCCTCAATGGTCTGGGAACATATTATCTGTTGGAGCGTCTTTCCCTCAGAACCTCATCAGTCTGTCCCAGCTTTTCCTCACAGGCCTTGCAGGGCCTCAATGAGAGAGGCAAAAAAGACAGTTACAAGAAAATGTGGTTTCTTGGCTGTGGCCCCATCTCTGCGGAATGGGCTCCCACCAGAAGTATGTCAGATCCCCTCTCTCCTATGCTTTAAGAGGATGTTAAAGACTGTTTGCTTTTGAGAAGCATTTAAATGCACCCTTGCTTAAATTAATATTTATCTCTGTTTCCTGTTCCCATCACTATTTGTTTGAATGTAATGCATTTTGGGATGAATTTAGGTTTATGTGGGTTGATTATTCATTGATGTAAAACCTTTCCTTTAGCCTGGCACCCCCCAGAGGCTACCATCACCTCCAATCTTTCTTAAACTGACATCCCCTCCAAATATGTTAGACTATATACCCATGATTATCCTTACCAACACTGGGAGCAGATGATAGGAATTTGCCATCTACACATCTAGAAGGCACCATTTTAAAGACAACCTCTTTTATAGGCCTACATTTGAAAACATTTTTTGAAAGTCCAGTAACATTGTAACCTCTCATTTACACTTTAATTTTAAAAAGAAACCCAAAAACAAATATACCTTTGTCCCCAAAAGCATTTTTCCCCAGAAGGGCCTAAATCCACCAATGTATCATGTAATAATTTTGAAAACCTAAAACACCCACTTTTTAAAGTAAGAAAAGCATGAGTAACTACTTAATACAAGCAGAACACAGAAGCTACTAGGATGGTCTTGTCTATGATAAAACTATTATTCTGTTTTAAAAAATAATTGCCCTTGCATCCTAAGCACCATTTATTTAAGGTCTTGCCATTCTCCCCAGCTATCATTTATTGCAAAGACCAGGAACTAAGGGCACATGCCCAAGCTAAGAATAAGTAAGAGCACAAGATGATGTTGATGAACGGACAGGATGGATGGAAGGAAGGAAGGAAGGAAGGAAGGAAGGAAGGATAAATGAACGAACGAACGAACGAACGAACGAACGAACGAACGAACGAACAAACAAACAAACAAACAAACAAACAAACAAACAAACAAACAAATAAAGTGTTAGAGGACAGAGTACCTGGCATAATATCCACAGCAAAACTGGGCAAAAGATCAGCAAGCAGCCCTGTCCTGCCTAGAAAAGACAGAGGAAGGGAAAGAAGGAGAGTTGTTAGCATAGGAAAATCATTCCCCACCCATAGCCTGTTCTGTCCTATGGTATCATGCCTTCCATGAACTGTGACAGGCATTAAATGCTTTAGGGAACTCATTACCAGAGCTTTAACTGTATTATCTGATACAGTATAGGCTTTTTATTGTTACATACAGTCTGACTTGGGGAAACCAGACTAGAGGTTTCAATATATACGAGATATTTATGGTTTTACAAATGCTGCCCTCCCCACATGAGTTTCCATGACTGAGCAGGGATCTGAACCTAGGTCTCCTAAATCCTAGTGTATCACTTTGTCCACTGTATTCTACTGGCTCTCAGTGTAGGCACAGCACAACATAATGCATTTATAAAGGGCAAGACCTGTTAAGGTATACTTTACATTTAATTTGCGCTGAAAACTTAACACTAGAATAAAACCAATAACTCTATATAGTGCCACAATACTCTTTTATTTTGATTTTGAGCTATTTTCAAATACTTTTCAAAATAATTGGGATTATTCTTAATTCCAGCTCTCATTGAAAAAATAGCAGATGATAGGAACACATACTGTAGATATTCCAACCTGTGAGTTTTGTCATGTTATTTTTGTATATTGTGTCTGTATGATAAAGAGATGGTGTGAGCTACTAATGGTTCAAACAGCCTGAGCTGAAGGTGGAAATCCATTCCATTTTCTGAACTTTCCATTTTCAATGAGTTTGGGGTTTTTTAATGCTTTAACTGCAACAAAATCTGTTTCAAGGAATATGGCAGTACAGAAGGTTACTATGTTACATATATTTTCTGGAAGAAACCACAGTGCTATTTTTAGGTATTTTGAAAGCAGCATAAACAAGCTAGTTCAAGTTGACCCAAGTATCCACCAATACAGTAATGCAGATGGGAGCATGTTAACAGCATTTTTGGCATGTCAAGCCATTCCCTTCTGTAAAGTAACAGTGATTCTGACAGAGGCTGTTTCCATGTCAACTGGAAGTAAACCTCAAAGGCTTTGTACAGAAGTTATAGCTGCTACCTATCCTGTTCCCAAAAGGAGTAGGCTACATGAGCACTGAACTAAAATCTAGCTCAACATGGACTATTTTTGCTCTCGTTAATTATGAAATGTGTATTTACAGGAATCTAAAATATATTAACATATACAGGGAAGACATATCCAATGTAGAAGCACTTTCTCTGGCTGCTAAGTATACTTATCCCGTGCCTGTTTAAAGAGATCAGTGTTAACAACAAATGCATGCATCCCTGTAGAGTTATGTGCAGGGTGACTCAAAAAGAAAATTGCACAGCAGTATGCAATTGTTACGGTACACACCACTACATTTTGTGCAATTGAGCTTTTGACAAAGTGCCCCATTATATTATGATTAGCAAGCTAACTAGATGTGGACTGGACAGCACAACTGTCAGGTGGATATGCAGTTGGTTACAGAATCATACTCAGAAAGTGGCTCCTTCTCAAACTGGAAGAAGGTAACTGGAAGATGGAGTCTTGGGCCTGATGCTCTTCAATATTTTTATTAATGACTTGGATAAGGAGGTGCAAGGAATGCTTATCAAATTTGCAGATAACACAACACTGGGAGAAATAGGTAATAACCTGGAAGACAGAAACAAATTCAAAAATATCTTGATAGTCTCAAGAACTGGGCTGAAAACAACAAAATGAAATCCAGCAGAGATAAGTGCAAAGTTCTACACCTAAGAAGAAGAAACCAAGTGCAAGCTACAAGATGGGGAATACTTGGCTCAGTGACAGTACACGAGAGATGGATCTTGGAATTACTATAGATCACAAGCTGAATACGAGTCAACAGTGCAATGTGGTTATAAAAGATGCAAATACTATTTTAGGCTGTACTAACAGAAGCAGAGTCTCTAAATCCTGTGAAGGACTAGTTCCTCTCTATTCTGCACAGGTTAGGGCTTATTTTGAGTACTGTGTCCAGTTCTGGATACAGAATTTAAGAAGTATGTAAACAAATTGGAAGAAGTTCAGAGGAGGGCAAAAGGACGATCAAGGGATGGGAAACCAAATCATATGGGGAAAGACTGATTTAGCTTTGAGAAAGGAAGACTGAGAGATGATAGCACTTTTCAAATACTTGGAAAAATTGTCATATAGAAGAGGGGCAGGATTTGATCTCAATCATTCCAGAGTGCAAGACACATAACAATGGGCTCACATTACAGGAGGCCAGACTTTGAATATCAGGGGGGAAAACTTCCTACCTGTCAAGAGCAGCATGACAAAGGAACCAATTACCTCAGGAGTTGATGACTGATCCATCACACTGGAGAGATTCAAGAGAAAGCTAGGCAACCATCTATCCAATGTACTTTATACTTGGATTCCTGCACTGAACAGAGGAGTGGTTTTGATGGCTTTACAAGCAGATCCATTATTCTATGATCCCATATGAATTCCCACAATCTTCATCCTTCCCCATCTGTTCAACAGGGCTCCAAAAACAGTACATTTCTCCTTGTGCTAGTAAACACAAGACTTTTTGTCTTGTATTGTTCTAAAGCTTTGAAAAGAACAGCCTTGAATCTATAATTTAGGACTTTAAAATTAGCGTTTGAGATAATTTCTCCAAATTAGAAGTTATTCCCTAATTAAGAATATAGGGCATGCATCTGCTTTGTATATCCCACATATTTGGTTACAAGCTCACTTCAGGCTATGTTAATTATTAAGCATGTATGTTTGTGCACACACAAAAAGGATTTGTGGAAACATACGGTTCATTCCTACATTAAGCTGTTTGAATTAAAGACCATCAACTGAAATCAAATTTCCTCTATATCTAGATTTTACTTTGATTATTACAAATGGATTTAACATCAGTCTTAGCATTATTTTTTTGAAGACTGTATCTGTGTTGGCTAAACATGACTGTCTTTTGTTAAAGCAATAATAAATGTACTCCAAATTCTAGCAGTGTTTTGCTACTTGTTGCAATTCATCAAAACAGTTCTTTTATCATCCCTGTAATACCATCAATCATGAGTGGCTCTTGGACTGCAGAAGATAAAGCTGATATGTACTTCAGATAATATGCTAATCTTTTCTTACAACAAGAACTATTCCCATGCAAGCAGTGCTCACAATTATTTATCTGGGATGAAATGCATGCATCACTCATTTTCTGGAAGAAAGCATGTTCAGGACTAAGTGGAAAAGAGATACAGGACACTTAACTCTTTCTACTGACACTATTCCACTGTCATGAATGTCTCCTTGCCCTCTGCTCCCTCTGTCAATGCGGTCTGAAATGCATGTTCCAAGAAAGAAACGTGTATTTGAAACACTGTTGGAGAAACTATGTGGGAGACACCCTGAGGTTGTGCAGCTTGCCTACAGTTACATAGGTTGACTCTTCTCCCAAGAAGCACAGTGGGGAAATCAAACTCCTGACCTCTGGATTTGCAGTCACATAAATAACACATTGAGCTAGCCAAGCAGCTTGTTGTATATATTTACAACTATTAAAAAGCAATGAAGTGTTTACAAATGCTCATTCATCATGTCAGCAATACAGTGATGCCTCACATTACGTTAATTCATTCCAGCGAAATTGCTGTAGAACGAAAACATCGTGATGTGAAATAAAAAAGCCCATAAAAACGCATTAAAACCGGATTAATGCATTCCTATGGGCTTGAAACTCCTCCATAGGAAGATCCTCCATAGCGCGGCCATTTTCACTGCCCGTGCAGCGAGGAATTTGTCCCAGAACAGAGCGGGGAGCCATTTTTTTTACCCGGCGGCCATTTTGAAACCGCCGATCAGCTGGCTGAAAATAGTTGTTTTGCGAGAATCGGTTCGCGAAGCAGGGAACTGATCATCGCAAAGCGAAATTCCCCCATAGGAAACATCGTTTTGCGATCGTAAAACTTCATCGTAATGTGATTTCATCTTTAAATGGGGCACATGTCTTGCGAGGCACTACTGTATTAAGGAGTTTAGGGAAGGGAAGGCATCTGGCTATTAAGGACAACAAATTTTCCTTTAATAGAGGTTACTTAGGACCAAACTATGTGACATGGAAGATATACAAAGCAAACCAGTCTCCCTTCTTGAGAACTTGTAGTATTGTTTCTAGCGTTACCATTCTGAATTTTTTAGGTCTAACTAAGAATTTACAAGTCCAAAACAGGGCTCAGGCTTCCATCCTTCTTTGGGACCATTAAAATAGGGTTCTGGCCCTTGAATCCTCAAAGAGGCTAGCTGAGTGGAGCTAGACCTACAATTATTGACCTGTCTCTAATATTCAATTCTTGGTTAAGGTGTTGGAGTGGGTTGCACCTTCTCAGCCCTAGGGGTTCCTGGACGAGACAGATTATCTAAATTAATTTCAATCTGGTTTGAGGCCTTGTTATGGAATGAAGATTGTTCCGGTCTCCCTGGTGGATGTCTTAAGCTGGGACCTGGACAAAGGTAATGTGTTCCTGTTTGTTCTGCTGAACTTCTCATCAGATTCAATACCATTGATCATGATATTCTCCCAACCCAACTCTCTGGAATGGGACTTGGAGGCATTTTATGAGTTAGCTTGAGTGTTAAAATAATCAGGAGAAGCCTTTTTCTCAGTCCCACTACCTTCACGGGTGCGCTTGGTGGGTACAAGGGAGAAGGCCTTCTCTGTTGCCAGTTTGTTCTGCTGAACTTCTCATCAGATTCAATACCATTGATCATGATATTCTCCCAACCCAACTCTCTGGAATGGGACTTGGAGGCATTTTATGAGTTAGCTTGAGTGTTAAAATAATCAGGAGAAGCCTTTTTCTCAGTCCCACTACCTTCACGGGTGCGCTTGGTGGGTACAAGGGAGAAGGCCTTCTCTGTTGCTACTCCCAGACTTTGAAGCTCCCTCCCACAAGAGGCTAGCCTGGCTTCATCTTTACTGTCCTTTTGCAAGCAGGTGAAGACCTTTCTCTTTAGACAAGCT